AACTCTGACACCCTAACAAACTCGCTATCGCTCGCATCAACCCTAATTCTCCTTGTTCGCGTTTGCTCTCATCTCTGCGTGCCCTTGGCCATCTTCGCTGACACATATTTGCGCCCCGTTCGCCCTCTTCGATACCTTCGGAACCAACTCCGTCATCATGCCATTCTTTTATTCGCCATCCTGCTCTCCGGACTTTCCCATATTCATTCTCGCTGGTCGCACCGGGGTCCCTTGCTCATTATGCTTCATCGAATCAACCATTGTCCGGTTTCCTCTCCGTACTTGACGCCACATTGACATGCTCCATGAACCGTTTTGCGCCACTAACCATCATCACCTCCCAAATAATGTAATTACGCTGTGTCGTCCGAAACGCTGCCTATTCTACTCATTAAACGTCTTTCTAAAATTCCATTGAATATCACTGCTGTACTGACTTACCTGTACCATTCGAAATCGCCTGTCACCACTCCTACCATTATATACCGCCCCACTTCTATAAATAACTGTCTTGTTTACCACATACGATTACCACGAACCACCCTTCTAATTATATCCCTAACCCTTAACTGCCCGTCTGGATTGCTCTCCCTAACCCTCTCTACATTCTGTAACCCTAACCCTTTCACGATATCTAACCCTAACCCTGTCAAATCGCCTGCTGCCTCAATAACATGCCCGCTTCACCTTTGACTCCTCACATGCTTTACTTAACCTATGATCTACTGCCTTCTTTTACTACAATCCACTCTAATCCCATAAATATCGTTCGACTTTGCATATCTGAAATGCTGATATATCTCTGTCTACATATGTTTTTGATTTTCTCCTCATACCGACCTATCACGCGACCTCTATACCTGCTATATACCACTTGTACTCACATATCTGTTCTTCAATCACTCTAAACATCTTTATTGAACCTTTTGCACCGTAAATATACGTATTGTGCTTCAAATATAATTCATAAATGCTGTTATAATTCATAAATGCTGTTACAAATACACAACCTTGTCCCCTTACCACGCCTCGTATTCTCGTACCTTTATTGCACCATGTAATATTCCCTCATGAATTCAAAAACGTGTTTAATCTACTTCATATACGCCATAAATGCTTTCTAATCTGTTTCTGTAATGGTTGAATCGTTATGTGCTAAATTACTATCAACCATACTGCCGCCTCCAAAACCCATACCACAACCCTTCAATTGTTGACCTCTATATCTAACCCAATATCAACTTAAATTAATATTTATTATCTTCTATTCAATACGACAATCCTAAAACTTGATAACAAATGGAAATATATCTTTAAATATATTCGCGTTGTGGCGTTGTTGACATTATGCTAAATTTTGAATATTTTGACCCATTTCTATTTTGGGAACAAACCGCACCTATTTTTAATACTCACAAACTCATTTTCCAACCTCATTGGTATAACCCATTTCAACATGAATTACACGTTGCACCTTATCTACACTGCGCAAATACACCGCTTACGCTAAAATATTATACAATGGCTACAATCAACCCTGCTCTACTAAATGGTCGCTTTGAATCCATACCCCAATTCCTACAACCCCGTCCGGACTCAACAACGAACTGGCCGCCGTGAATTCCGACCATATTCTAATCCAACGTCCACAATCATGAATCCTCCTGAACCCAACATCTCTTAATCCGATTAAATCCGTGATCCGAACTCTGGTTTTCCCTAAACGCCGATCCCTGCACGCTTCAGTTCTGAACACTATATTCCTAAATGCGATCCATGCTAAATGAACCACAACCATAACCACACCTTTTATTCCGCTCCGATCTTCGACTCTACCATCGCCACTCGCATAATGCACACATAAATCAATGTACACCACATCGGGCATTCATCGGGATACCGGGATACCGGGATATCGGGATAACTAACGGGCGCTACGGGCTTCAGCCGGGATTATCGGGCATCGGACATAATATGCATACTCCACAACATCGATCAATACATATTTCTTAACCTATACAACCACTTGATGCACCCTTGTATCCCTCGCTGGCCTTAACCTCTCTCCATTCCGATTTACTGTTTTCCATTTCCCATTTTCTACTTTTCAAAACCCTAACCCAACAACTGCGCCTCACTATCGACATAATGATTCGTGCATTACGCGCCGCGAAAATCCTTCGCCGTCTCTCATTCCCATACCCTACGCATATATAACCCTCTAAGTTCCACCTTCGTATGCTTCGTATCCACGTCAATTTTCTTATCTTAAAACTTTCATGCCCGACTTCACTCCAATCTCTTCCTGCACCACGTACACCACGGTTCCACCTCGCGAACCAAATTCCGCAACGTTGTCTAACCCTACTCCCTCGCCATCCACCGACTCCTCCAATCCTTCTGCTTCGGCCTTGGCTTGTACACTTGGAAATCGCACCTCACACTGTACCTCACGCCGCCACTCATCGATCCGCCGGGTCAAACTACTCGGAAACAATGGTAAACATGCCATAATCCGCTCTCTCACCTCCTGGCATGTTCATGGTCGCATCTCTGATCCTCATTGCCGTGCATACATTTCCAATTCGCAATACGTTCGAATGGAAAACGGTACAACGCATGTAAAAACTGTAAATACTGTGTGTATACCAACACGCACAAAATAAACAACCGATACCCTTGAACACGTCTTCGTACACCTTACAAATATATAAATATATTGCATCGTGACTTGCTGTGCCTCCCTTTATTTCTATACTCCCAATATCGCAACCTGCTCTGTGATCCACAAATACTCAAACGCCAAATTACTTCCCTGCAACTGACCTTTGTCTTTTCGCTGTCCCAAATATTCCTCAACGGCCTTCTTGGACTCCCTATCTACGCCATCCTGTGCCAACCGCTCCATCCATGATGTCCACAATGCCCTGTACGCGTGACGCAATCCAAACACCATCGACGCCATGATGCCATACCATTGACACTGTCCGTTTACCCTTTCGTATCCCCCCTTCCCATTCTCCCTGTATCGACTGCACATGCTTTGTGGTACTCCACATTTGCCACATGCTGAACAATCCTTGAATCGGATCCGTATTCGCCGTTCCTTCACTTCTGATGCTGCTTCTTTTCCTTCCTGCTGTGTGCAACCGGTGACTACGTGATCACATAAAACCCCTGCCGCATGGCATACGATGCACTTTCCTTTCCACTTCCACAACTGCCTTTCTAACCTATCCTCTACACCTGCTTCGACTATTCGCTCCTTGGTTCTCCTCATTCGCACTGCTGCCGCTTGCCTCTGCTGCGTACTGAATTGCTCCTCCAACCGCTCTGCCATATCTCGTTTGTCCGATTCTGCTCGCCTACGCTGGGCTTCGACAACTTGTCCATCATGTCTTCCGGCGTACTCGAACAAAACCTCATGCGGTCGGCATAAATCACATAATTCTTCGTCGAATCTGCATCGACCACGGTCGTCCTCGCCGTCCAAATACGAACTTGGTATCTTCCGCCTACAACTGCCGTCACCGTTGATATACGCTTGTACCAATGGATCGATCTCATCATCATATCCTGTCACCAAAATCGCGTGACTTGCCCTCCCGTCTCGACCGGCTCGACCGCTCTCCTGCGCATAATCCAACATGTCGCGCGGCTCATCTGCATGAATGATCCACTCAATGTCCGGTATGTCAACTCCCATTCCTAATACGTTCGTTGCAACCATTACCCGTGTCCTTCCTGTTCGAAATGCTCCCAATGCTTCTGCTTGTTGACGGCTGTTCATATCGCCATGGAACGCGTCACATTCGAACAACCCGCCGGTGACCATCGTCTTGACCCGCGTTTTTGCCTTGCAATATATAATTCCCTTGCCATTCATACTGCGCACCATCTTTGCGATGAATTTATCATGATCTTGTTTTTTCAAATGGGTTCCCGGTCTCACGACTGAATACCGTATGTTCTTTCTTACTGTCGGCATCCTGAACATTTTGACTTCGTCCGCCGTCCAACCCATGCGCTTCCACAATAATTCTTCCTTGCTGGGCGGCAATGTCGCCGTCAACAAAACCATCTGTGTTTCTACATGGGCTAACTCGCCTAATTCACGCAACTTCGGACGGAACCTCGACTCCGCGCTCAAAATGACATGGCACTCATCGATCATGATACGATCCAACCGCCGCGTCTGCTTCAACCGGTTGATGAACGTGCTGCCTTCGTCTCCCAACGCTGCCTCGGGCGTCATCAACACAATACTTGCGGCATCTGGTGGCGATCGGCTGTCCTCCCATGCCACACATGATATCGACAACGCATCACAACGCTGCTGCATGTCCTGCCGTAACGCGGTTAATGGCACAATGACAATCGTGGTTCCTCCTGGCTCTGCCCATGCTGGCAACATGAACAATACCGACTTGCCTGTTCCTGTCGGCATGACTGCGACCACTGGCTTGATTCTTGCCTGAATCGCTTCAATGGCTTGTTCCTGGACACCACGGAACTGACCCTCCTTTTCCTCCAACTTCATCATCCGTGCGAACTGCGATCGCATGTTTATCTGTTGTAACCGGGCCCATCGTTCGTGCTGCGCCGCACTTGCTTCTTCTTCGAATGCATCCCGCTTCCGCTTCTGGCCTGGGTTCATATCCATTGCGGACGGGATTGCTAAAAATCTATGCCAATCGATGCTGCTCGTGCGGAACTGCTGCCGTCGACTTGCAATGGCACCGTCCATCTCGAACATACCTCGCGCATACACCATACCTGCGATGTGTGACCCATGGCCGGCTTGCAAATCTTCAATGGCATCGCCCTCTCCCTCCTCGCCTGGATTCTCTTCGTCTTTGCTGAACGCGGACGAACCTCGCATGTACCTCCGGCTTATACCAATGGCGATGTCACGATATGCTTGGATATGCAATCCATGGCCTAACCCCTGGGCCGTCGCGCGCTCCAATGCTTGTCGCATTCGCCTGGATGTCCATTCTCGGCCATTTCCATCGCGGCAAAACAACCGTGACGCCTTTGACTCGGAATTGTGGTCCTCCTCGACGCCTTCTTTATATTGCCCGCCTATGATGGACTGCAACCGGCGTTCGAATGGCCTCACCAACCACAAATACCATACAACCAACTCGCCTATCTCCCGGGGCAAATACCGATGAATGACCTTGACGTCACCACTCAACGCATAACCTTTGTGATATTTGGTCACAAACACAACCAAACCGTCCTCGATGAACACGTTTCGATGTCTGCCTTTCCATGTGTTGCTATGCCGGATACTCAATATCTCGGTCCCACGCGCGGGCTGCCCTCCCGTGATATGCGCCGCTACTAACAACTTCTCGCGAAACTGCACAATACTGGCCATATACTTCTCCACTTCAATCCCATTCAACCCGGACTTGGATCCGATTCGTTCGAACTTTCGTCGAACCTCGGGTTGCTGTCCGATGCGGTCGAACAACCATTGCTTGCTGTTGATGGGTAACCATGTGCGCTCATCGTCCAAAAAACTCCACCCGGGTGTTGTATTGGTTGGATCGTCCCGAATGGTATTCCATGGCACGTTTGGAATGTCCTTTGCTTTCTTACCGCCACAAAATAACAATTCGTCAAACATGATCCGTCGCATCTGCTCGACCAACCCGTGCACCATGCCGCGGAACTGGGCCATATTGAACTGCGCTTTCTTGTATAACAACTCGTCACCATTACACCACTCGACATGGCCACTGCTGGTCGTATTGTAATGGATCTTCAATCTATATGTCCGCAAATCCAACATCCACTGTATTGGGCCTTTCGTTCCGCGGACCATGAATTGGTCCATCATGTCGTTCACGAAATCCAAACAACTCCTTGCACGACGTGTCTGCGGCCGGCCCCGTGGTTCCATGACTGGACTCGATGGGTTGCCTGGACTGCTCCGACCATGTACGGATGAACTGGCCCATCTAAACCGGTTCGGCGACACCGGTTCGTGTGGGATTGGGCTGCTTGACCTGCCATGGCTTCTCCACTGAACCCTGGACGACGGACTTGGACTTGCTGTACCATTGCTGTCGTATCCACTATCCTCGTCCAAATCCATCTTCCGCCTGCCTGCGAAATGCTCATTCTCTACTGGGCTTCTCGCCATGTGAACGGCCTTCTGAACCACCATGAACCTGGCGCACTTGATCACGGACGATAAAATGGGTGGGTATGAATCCGGGCCTCGCCATCCTGTTTCACTGACGCCCAAAACGGCCAATGCATATACTAATGCACTTTCATACTCGCTGAACTCGATCTCCATGTTCAACAACTCGACACAAAAATCCAAACATGCTTTTTGTATCGCACTCATCCTGGACTTCTCTCCGTCATATTGTGCCTCGCCGTCAATCACACGGTTCGCTTCTTCGATCATCCTGTTGAACTTCTCGAACTGCTCTGGTGTAAACTTATACGGCGGACTGTGCCAATTGTGTTCTCGCTGGGTCCGCACGAAAAACATCAACACCTGCCGCCATGGTTGGGCCCTCCTATCGATCGCGTCCGGGTCCCAATACGTCTCCAACGGCATGTATCGTGTTTGCTGTTTCTCGGTTCGAACGGCTTCCATACGAACAAACACGCCTGCTCTGGATACCGTCTCCTGGCTGATCTGTGCAACTTCGGTCATCGTCCTCCAAATGACATCTTCGTACGGTTCTGGCTTTTCCGGGTCCTTGCTCGGTGGTGCGGTGGATGCTGTTAACTCCTCTGGGTTGTACTTCTTCAAATATTTATGCCATTTTGTCCTTGATAACCACGGGTTGACATCGTCTTCCTCACCCTCTTCGATGCTTTCTTTGCCTTTCTGTACCATCTCTTCGTATATTTTCTCTGCTTCCTTTTGCACGTTCTGCCATGAATCAAATGCCGCTGTCTCTTCGTCTTGTGTCTCCTGTTGCGTGACTTGAATGTAATGTGATCCGTGCCGGCTGCCGAAAAATTGCTGGCATTTAACCTGCTCATGTGCCTCGTCAAACCGTCTTCTGGCTTTCTTTTGCTGTTCTTTTGTCGTTCGCCCGCTCTTCGAACTTTCGGTTACTGTCCACTCGTGCTTCATTCGCCAATGTTTCCGCAATGTCTCTTTGCTATAACAAACATCCTGGCACCGTTGTGGCTCAACTTTGCATAAAAACCCATCGTGTAACGCCAACTCGGGGATGGGCTCTCTTAACCGATCGGGTAATTTCAAATCCTCTTCTTTGGTGATTAACCCTTCCTATGACTGAATGACCTGCTGGATGTGCTGACGATCCTTTTTCTCAATCCGGTGATGTGGACCACTCAAATGACTGTCAACCTCCGCTGGCCACACTGCATACCTACATTCCTTGCATACAATCAATCCGTATGTCTCTAATCGCGAAAACAACTGCTCCACGTGCTTCGCCATCTTGCATATATGCGCCGCTGGCATCCACTTCGAACAACGTATTAACGTCTGTCCGTGCGCAGCGAGAATCACGCCGTGGCGAGAAAATCAGTCGGTACTTCGACTTTGAGCGCGTTGCACCTTGCACACACCACACTGGATTTTTTGAAATATTTTTAGATATGAACTTGAACTACTTATACATAAGCAAAGGTTAATAGAATTCAAAATTACCTTTCGGTTGACACTATCGCGCCTGGCCCATTCTAGACTCTGAAATATTGCATTTTAGTATTTTCCTACCACTACGTTAATTATTAACCTGTACTAATTCCATATTTAATCTATAGCTTTGGATGGCCCATTAGATTTCACCAGAGATATAAGAAGAATTTATTCAGGCCTCTTACTGCGATGTTTGGCTAATTTGTACATTTTTGCCACCCTTGTCGGTACCTCCAAGCGGAGCGTGGGCCAATCCGGTTGTATTATTCAGAT